AATACTTTTTCCCAGTCAGTGGCTTCCCTTTTTACCCTACTGGAGAAGTTTTTGGATGTGCATAAAGGCTCCTATTCTTAACAGAAGTATGTTTCTCCTTAATGGTGTCTGGTATGTTCAAACCAATTAAAAATATAGTGACATGAACTCTAAGGTATATATAACAGAAAAGATAAAAGACTAAGTTCAGGAAATCTAGAAATAGGAAAGAAATAAGATGAAATGGAAAAGATAATAGTAGAATAATTTATGACTTCTAACATCCTACTAATATCCCCTGCCATCAATCTGATTCTAACTCATAGATGCCCCGTAGGACAGAGGGGAACTGCCCGCAGGGTTTCCAAGGTCACATTCTTTATGAAAGCAGGCTGCTTTGTCTCTCTTACTCAAGAGCAGCTAGTGGGTTTAAATCACCTTATATCAGCACTGAGCACTTAACCACTGTGCCATGAGGGTTCATTCTAATAGAAGATGGTGGTGGTGGTGATGTTATGTGCTGTCGAGTCACCTGCGACTCATAGCAACCATATGTATAAACAGCCCTAAACCCTGTGTCGTGCAGTTGTCTGTGACTCAGCAACCCTGTGTACAACAGCCCTAAATGCTGTCCTATCCTGTGCCAATCTTATTGTCTCTGATACATCTACCCCCATTACCCCAGCCACTGAATCAATCCATTTGAGGGTCTTCCTCTCTTGTGCTGTCCCTCCACTCTCCCAAGCATGACATCCCTCTCCAAGGACTGGTCCCTCCTTGCAATATGTCCTAAGTATGTCAGGTGAAGCTTCAGAATCTTTGCCTCCAAGGAGCAGCCTGGTCTTACCCACTCTAAGATAAAGATAGGAGAACCAAAAAAAAGATGGGACCTTCCCCATCATTAATTTTATAAAGCATATTGTATGTGAATGATTCTATGAAACATAATGTAAATGAAGAATAGTGTGAAACACAGTGTATATGAACCTTGTAAGCAAACCAATTTTTTTTAAAAAGGGGAGGGGAAATAGTTTGCTTTTTTTTAAAAAAAGAGCATATAACTATTTCTCATAATTTGGTTAACATACATTTCTAAACTAAAAAGTCCCAATAAATGTCCAATACAATAGAAACACATGCATGCACTCAAAATACAAAGGCCAAAAGGCCCACCAAAATACAGGAAGAGAACAAAATCCTCAAAGCTTTAAAAGAGAAACATTGGATTACCTGTAAGGAATCATACTTCAAAATTTATTGTTGTTGTTTTTGTTGTTTTTGCTGGGTGCCACTGAGCACGACTCACAGCAACCCTCTCTGAACAACAGATCTGAACCTATCCTGTGCCATCTTCATCTCTGGCACATCTGAGCCCATTGCTGCAGTTACTATGTTAGTCCATCTCTCTGAGGGTCTTTCTTTCTTTTGCTGACCCTCTATCTTCCACGTATGATGTCCCTTTCAAAAGAACAGCCTCTCCTAGCAACATACCCAAAGCAGGTGACACAAAATTTTGCCATCCTTGCCTCAAAGGAGCACTCTGACCACACTTTTTCCAAGGCATTAGACTCATTGATATTAATACTTGAATAATTTCAAATATTCAGTATCTTCAAAATTTTTTAAAATAATTTCCCATGTAAAAGAATATAGTCAGCCAATAAAGTTAAGGTTAAAATATTTTCAACCATTCAAAGTCATAACACATATTAAAATAGGTAAAGAGAAAGTCATTATACAACAAGGGGATAATCAGAACAAAGAAAAGGACATGGGAAAAGTGTAATTACATTATGAATATTGAAAATAATGTTATAGAACAAAAGTATGAATAATTGAATGAAAATTTAATTTGCATAATAAATTTTCATTCAAATCACAATACAAATAATATTTGTATTGCGTATTTTGTGCAGTAAAAAGGGGATAAGGAAGGATGAGGCAGGAAACTTGCTTCTTTTTAAATTTCTAAGTTGTGTAATATAGTTAACTCTTATGTTTTTTAAAAATAAGTTTGAGATGAAGAAATAGAGAGTGCTATGCTCATTTAACATACCTGAATTACTTTTTTGAGTACCTACTATGTATAAAGCTTTGCCTCACATACTTTGGGTATGTTGCTAGGAGAGGCTGTTCCTTCGAAAGGGGCTTCATGCTTGGAAAGGCAGAGCGTCTACAAAGGAGAAGACCCTCAACCAGGTGGACAGCTACAGTGATTGTTGCAATGGCAATTTAGAGTGTTAGGAAATGTGAGAATGCCACAGGATAGAACAAGGTTCAGATCTGTTATTCATAGGGTCGCCATGGGTTATATTCAACTCAACAGCCCCTACCAACAACGTATATAGTCTAGGGAGCTCTGGTGGTCTGTTGTTGATTGCCTTTGAGTTGAGCACAGGTAATAGCAACTCTCTGAATAAAAGGCCTGAAACTCCTCTACAAGTATCGACATTTATCAAAGTTCATAGTTTCCAGAGGCATGTTCTTTAGGAAGTGGATGCCACTCCTGCTTCCTAGCAGTAACAAATTGTGCTGCCAACCCATAAGCACATAGTTCGAAACTGCCAGCTGCTCTGAGGCATAAAGATAAGCAACCTCCTGCTATGTGATTAACTGTCTTTGAAAACTCACTGGGGTTTCAGCAATAAGTCAGTTCTGACGTGAAGGTACATAACAACAATAACTAGATATAGTCCAAGCACTATTTTAGACCAATGCAGGCAATAGGCAAAACAATAGTGACACAGATGAGGTAATGTAGGAGGAAAAATGGGGATACTGTATGGAGAGAATATTTTTATAGCAAGGGAAAGACATCAGCTTGTGCATATGCTTAATGAAATAGTATCTGCAGTTACAGATAAAAGAGATTCCATCAACAGCTCTACAGGAGAAATTATGTGGTAGTTCACTTCTGCAATGATTTACAAGCACTATATATATCATTGTCCATGTCCATGGGACAGTTCTACTCATCCTACTAGATTGTAAGAGGAATAAATGAAGGAGTGAAAAGCCCTAAGGAAGAAGAAGAGACTGGAACCTATACTATATTTAAAAGCACAAGATGAGAAAACAGATATTTATCCCACTGAGCTAGACAGAAAGACACTCAAATGAATGGAGATTCGCTAACGTTTGAAGATGGAAGATAATCTTAGCTTTAAAAATACAGAAGATGATTAAGGTAAATAACCTATGTCTCAGCTGTCTTTCAAGTTTAAGAGTGGCAGTTGACAGAGGTGAGTGAGAAGAAGAATGTAGCTTTTAACAAATAAAAATGGGAGATGAAGAAGGCATTGTTGCTCCAGTAGATGGAACAACAAAGGGAGTGTGGTGGGGTAAGTGAAGAAACAAAATCTGGTCAGAACATATACACTTATAGAGGAGTAACAGGAAAGAGCTATTACTAGACAGCATCAACTACATTTAAACACACTACAGAGAGTAACCTATGTTTAGCCTGAAGTATGACTACATTACAAGTAAGTCTTGGTTGAAGCTCTGGTGGCCTAGTGGCAAGAAGCTGTGTTGCAATCCCAAAAGTGTGCAGTCTGAATCCACCAGATGCTCCGCTGGAGAAGGAGGGGCAATCTCCTCCTGTACCAGTCATTTCTGACTCGATAGTATACAACGAGGGGAAAAAAAGATATGGCAGCAAATGTTTAATAAAGTAAAAGTAAATCTTGGTCAACAATTATTCTAATGCCAAGATGAGAAGATAAGGAATAGGTATACTAAATTACTAAAAATGGAAAAATCAGAATGAAAACATAAGAATGCTAACACATTGAAAAAATTTATCATTAATATTGTGTAGAAAGGAGAACCTAATTTTCTGTGTAAATTTTCACCAAAAGCACAGTAATTCCTTCAACAAAATACACTAAAAATGTAAATTTCTAAAATGGATTTTTTAATAAATTATGCACATATTTCAGTTTCAAAATTTTCTATATATGGCCAACATGAAACACAATGATGAAGATTTCCAAGTATTATTTGGAACCCTCCACAGCATTAGCTGTACCTTTTAGGGAGCTATGCTTCTTATCTTTATTAAAATTCATAAGTTAAAGGCATAGCTATACTACACTGCCTTCAAATAAGCAAAATATTAACTTTCAAGCAGGCAATACAATTGTTGTATAATGAAAAGTTGTAAAAACAAATCAAAGCTGGAAATGACATCCGAAAATAAAGTGTTCATTTATGTGAATGCTTACCTGATCCAACATGACCTGAATACTTGACAAGGCACTTTCCTGTTTCTATACTCCACAGCAAAGCCGTGTGATCTGGAAGGTTAAGTAAAAAATTAGTAACTATGAACAATTCTGTAATTTAAGAATAAGTAGTCTGAAAATTCAAAGAACTCTTGTAACTGTACAAAATATAAAAGAAACCCGTCATCACTGAGTCAAGCACATAAAAAAACTGACCCCATAGGGATTCCATAGCTGTAAACCTTCACAGAAACAGATTTCCACAGCTTACTAACATATCAGTTAGCAGCCAAGTGCTTAATCACTGCAGCCCTAAAACTTCTCTGATACTTTATACTATTCTATGATTAGTCAATCAAAAATTAAAAAGTTTCCCAAAATATCAGAGAAGTCACAGACTTCTCTGACATCATATAACTGGTAAATGGAAAAACTGGAATAAGAATTCCTAAGTCATTATACTGACTCATCATGCTTAAGATTTAAAATATAGACACCACTTACATAATTTTATTATTTTGTCAAAGTAGTAAACCTTTTCAGACATCTTAAAATATTCAAACTCAATACTACTCAGAATCAGAAGCAAATAATCTAGAGAAAAATTATACCAATGCCTTGGGGCTTTACCTTGTTATAGGTACAATTTTATAAAGTGGATTTTCTCTCCTAGGATAATCTGAGAAATAAATGCCAATTATGCAAATAGAATTTCAGAAATACCGGAAAAGGGCCCTGTTACTTATTATTACTAGTATAATCATTTCCAAAGCAGTATGCTATGCTCATGTATGAACATAATTTCAAGACAGACAGAAAATGCAAAACAGAAACAACCAACTTTCTTGCTTACTCTAACTAGTTAATCATTTCTATTTCTATCTTAAAAGACCAATAAGGAGGTGCACTGTCAACCTACAGGCAAGCACCTGGAATCCACCAGCTGTGGTAAGGGAGAAAGACAGGCAATCTCTTCTCGGGCACGTGACAGCCTCAGAAGTGAAGATCGTTTTTAACTATGGCGATTTTTATCACATAGTTTTTTTATGCTCCATCTTTAGTGAGAATGGAGCTCTGGTGGCTTAGTGATATAACAAGCTGTGCTGCCAAACCAAGGGGTGGCAGTGGGAGTCCATTACCCGCTCCATGGGAGAGATGAGCAATCTCTTCCCACGCAATTGACAGCCTCTGAAAGCCTTCAGATGGTCAGCTATGAGTTGGTTCCAACTTAACGGTACTTTAAAGAAAAGAAAAGGGTCTTTAATACCCCCTTTCCCTTGGAGGTAAACCATAGCAGAGTTCACCCTTCTCTTCTGGTTAAATTCCATGTACAACACGCATTTTTCAACTACAATCATAGCACTTCCCTTTGGTTGTACTTCACTAGTGGGGGTGGAGGGGAAACAAAAGGCAAAACCTTTCCAAGATCAAGAAACATTTTTTACTATGAATATCAAGGAAATCATCTGAAAAATAACTAATTTGTTTTTAAAAATACTCTATATGATGTCTCATCTCATTCAAAACATGATTTTTTAACACAAATTAAATTAAAATAGAACAAGTATGTCCTAATTTGCTACTTAAGGTCACCGTTAACAATAAATGGAACTATGGTGGCCTAGTGGTAAGAAGTTGCGCTGCCAACTCAAAGGCAGGTATTTCAAATTCACCAGCTGCTCGCGCTCTCCTCCTGTGTGATTTACAGTCTCTGAAAACCCATTGGAGAGTCAGCTATGAGTTGGTTCCAACTTGATGACAATGAGTTGTTTTTTGGTTTTTGGTTTTTTTATTTGACGATTATATCACACTCAGCAAAAGATACACACTGCAAAGACAGCCCTAAAGGTCTTTAGTATTAAATGCTGCTGGGTGCCCAGACAGCAAGATTCAGTTTATTAGTATTAATGACTAATCTATCATAAAGCCTTTGCTTTAAGAAATCATTCTATTATTAAGAAGTGAAAGTCAGCAATTCCAGTCGGTTATCAATCATTTTTCAATAAGCTAACATTTCAAAACTTACCAGCAGATGCAGTTCCCAGCACCACTGGCTGTGTCCTTGCAACACTCACATCCCAGATTCCATCCCTGTGACCAATGTACTCCTTCACGAGCTGGCAGATGGCCCTAGAGGTTGTGGTCTTAAAGCTGGAGACAATCTAGAATAGTAAAGGGAAGGTACATTTTCAAACAATATATCAAAAATAATTCTCTCAAGTTAAAAAAGATAGCACAGGGGGAAACAATCTTGAAAAATGCATAACTTATGAATCAAATGGTTAAAGCATTAAAGGGACACAACCCAAGAGAAAGCAACGAGAACTTACATGCTTTTTGTAGTAAGAGTAGGCTCTTTATACTAAATATCAAAAAGAATGAAACTTTCCTCCATTTCATTTTTATATTATTCTGATAAATAATGCCTTACTATAAATGTTTATTCAGGTATACAAGTTTCTACTCCACAAATTCACAAATCAAAATACCTAAATTCCTTAAAAAGATGGAAAACGCTAGCTAGTTGGTCAGACAGGAAAACTAAACAAACTTAATGATTATTTTTGTTACTGGAGAATTTTGTTATTCTATTATTTGATCACTTAGAATAATCACCTATTATCAAGAGGGAAGAAAAAAAATCCACAAGGAAGGAATGAAAAAGACGACACTTCTAACACATGACCAGGTTGGTTCAAAATCATTTATTGAGCACTGCATAGTACCAGGCACTGTACTAAATGCAGGACACACAAAGAACAAAGTATGGATTCCTTGCCTTTAAGCAGCTTACAGTCTAAAAGAAGACAGACATGATATGAATACAATACAGACAATGTGATACATACAATAGAAATGGTTTGTCCTGTATCATGGTACATACAATGGTCAATTCTGATTTTCTCTTAAAAGGAAAAACTATCAAGTAAGAAAGAAACTAAACACAAATTTTGTTCCGAGTTTTGTTTGTAAATTGTTCTCATATACACAAATGGCTTTTGAGCTTCTGAGTAAATCAGAATAATGTAGATTATTCAGAATAATGAAACTGTAAAATCAAGTAAAAAAGAAAAAATGGTGTTATTATACAGCTTGTTTAAAACACTGAACAAGTAAAGCCCTAAAAATTTATCTAAGTGCATTTTGAGTATAAACACATTAAACTGCTATCCAATATCACATAAATTCATATATATGTATTCAAATTACCCTGCTAATAACAGTGAAAGACTAAAACAATGTGGTTGATGGAAATACTACTCTTTCATAAGTAATATAAAAAGGTTTCCATTTGACTTGTTTAAGTGTAAAAGGGAATTATAAAAAGAATTATTCAAACCCATCATCATCATTTTTTCCCTTTTTTGAAAGCTAGTATTTTATTCAACCCAGCAAAATCATCTCTCTAAAATGTGAAAAGTGCTTTTGCTGGCAGAAATTGCCATTCATTTACATGTTAGCATTATAATACTTTAAAAGCACACACAAAACTCTCCCATAATTATCTTACAGAAAACTTCACTGTCCAAACCTTTCAGCATCACTAATACTATTAAAATAAATACCTTAAAGTCAAACTCTTTACCTGTTTTATTTATACATAAGAACAGGAAGTTTAGAATTTGGTACAGCTCCCTTCAGCCACATTTTTAGTTGCTAATTTGGAAGCAAAGGTGAAGATAATGTTACTATGGGCATTATCACAAACCACCCAATAGGGTATTTTCAAAATATCTTTCACAATTGATCACCTACTCATTGTTCATAAAAATGTTCACTTAGTCAAAACTAGATAGAGGCTCAGTGACACATACTGGCTTACTTGGAAGGAATTTTCATGACAGAGGAGCAACAGAATGAAGCAACAAATAGAGGCTTACACCTGTCCATCTAATTGATCATTTTAATGAAGGTATAATCTAAGGTATAGTTAATGTAAGGATTTCTTTCTCACAATGAAAAATACTGATATATATAAAGATAGTACTTTGTGAACATGTTCACAAAATTCCTGCAAGTAGCATGCATGTTAGACTGTTTTACTGCCTTCCCAATAAAGGCAAGAGAAATGGTCATTAACCACCACGAAGGGGAAAAGCATCGATCTTGTTTTTACTTAATGCACTTTTATTTTCCCGCTGTCTCACTAAACATGGTACTTGCCTTTTATGGCTCTAAGTCAGAATGAGGAAAAGAAATGAAATCTAGACCGTAGCTTTTTTTCCCCCTTGTTGTATTTATGCTTAGCTTTAATACCAAAAATCTATGCTGTAGTACAAATCAAAACACAGTGTTACCAATTATTACTCCAATTTTCAAATATCTTGTATTTTCTTTACTATTCTTTACAACAGGCAGATTGCATAAAACACCTTAAAGATTATTAGTAAAACACTTCTGAGAAATTCAGCCTAATTTCCAGTAGCTAGAATGACTAAAGATTTAAATATTCCTAAAGCATTTCTTAAAAACATAGTATTTTTGTATATATCCTTACCTTTACCCATATTTTATTTTTACTTCTCATAATAATGGATAATGTTTTAAATTCAACTCTTCCTCTATTTCAGAAGTAATCAGAAAGCTTAAAATTTGGAATTTTAAGATCATACATTATATAAATACAACTGTAACTACTAGAACAAACAATATAATACAACAGGAAAAAAATTAAATGAAGAACAATGTGACACTTCATTTTGATGAAAAAAATTGTATGTTAATTAACTTATATTTTCAAAACTAAATAAGCACAAGCTAAATTATATAACATGGGGGGGAGTGTTCAACCAATTAGTAACTGGCTTTCTGGAGGTTATCAAAAAAGTAAGCCATGAAAATACCAGCAACATTCCTATCTTTTAAAAAGACAAGAAGGTATTACCAAAGACATGCAAATGAATTTAAAACTGTAGATATTAAGCTAAATAACTTCTAAGGGAACATGGGGGGGTAAGTTAATAACTACTTATCCATCAAAGCAGATCCACTGTAAAGGTCAACTTTTCTTTTTTAGGTTAAGCAAAAGGTCTGTAAGGTTAATTGTTCATAAGGTTAAGTGTTTTATATCTTTTGTATATAGGCATACTTCCAAGTTACTGCATGCTTGGTTCCAAATCACTGCAGTAAGTGAATACTGAAATAAAGCAAGTCACGTGAATGTTCTGGTTTCCCAGTCCATGTAAAAGTTATATTTAACTACACTATAGTCTATAACAACAACACAGTCTATTAATGGAACCCTAGTAGCCTCTTGCCTAAGAGGCTGTGCTGCCCTTCTATAAAGGCAGGCAATTCTAAGAAGAGCAGGAGATTCTAACCCACCAGCCACTATACAGGAGAAAAACAGGAAACATCCTCTCATGCAATTCACAGCCTTGGAAAATCCTTTGGATGCTCAGCTATGAGCAGTTACAACTTAACAGCAATGAGTTAATAGTCTAGTAAAGTTATAGGAGCATTAGGGAAAAGTTTAGAATATTGTTACAATTACCACAATGTGACAGAAACACTAAGGGAATACATGCTGCTGGAAAAATGACATTTACAGACTTGCTTTATAGTAGGATGTGACAACCTCCAATTTGTAAGACACAATGTTGTGGGGCACAATAAAGCACAATGAAACAAAGTATGCCTGTACTCGAAATCTTCTAGAGATGCACACAAAGTCATCTCAAATAATTATTCCACAGTAGTACTCCAGTATAGATACACTGATTCACAAACACGTAAATTCCTTGCCACTTTCAGATAAAAACCAGATATTTTAAGAAAATGCAAACTACTAGGAATGTCTCTGTTCACCTTACAGACAGACCTTCCTTTGCAGATGACACTTAGAAAATAAAGAAAATAAAGGGGGAAAGATAATAAACTAAAATCTAACTAAAACGGAGAATATAATTTTCATTGTTTTATACACATTTTTTACTTATGTCAACCCAATTAACAAGAGAAAACATATTTTCTCTCTAAAGACAATATTTACTAAGGAATAATGTATTCATTTCAATAAATACCAGGATAGGTTAGTGTTCTAGTGTCCTCTTAAAACATAAATTTTCCTAAAAACAAGTTATTTACCTTTTCCTATTACACATTTCTAATTGAAAAATATGCAATTTAAAGTACACATCGACACACCTTAAATACCACATGACTGGCTCAATAGTGAACACCGATGTGGGACCAAAAGTGAATGTCTTGCATACCTTGCTAGTAGAAGCTTTGTAAGTGGTCTTTAATTTCTGAGAAAGCTGACTGGTACTATGGCTGGCTGTAGAGACAAAGAAACGACAAACAAATATAAATCATATAATCAAAGACTCATGGAATTTCAAGGCTGGAACAAACCTGACATAGCAAACCCAATTTCTCATTTACCCAGAAAGAAAATGAAATCCAGAAAGGTTAATTTGTTCAAAGGGACATACAGAAAATGGCAGTTAAACCAAGAACCCATGCTTCTTGGCTCTTTAATCTTCAATACTCATAGCTAAATGGTGCATTTCAAGTTTTGCTAATTATAACAAAGTAAATAAAACCAATTTCCTTAAAATTAAATTGCAAGTTTTCTCAGTAAATTATGTATTTTATCAACAAACAGCCTTACCTTTTGTTTTGAGCTGGCCCTTACTCAGTTCTGCTCCATCAATCGTTTGGCCTTCAGCAGCTAAGCGGTCATTAAGAGTATCAATTTCTCTACGTACTATAAATAAAAAAGAAAATTTTCATAAATGAAAAATATGTACTTTCTATGTTTAAATATATTAACCACTTCTAAAACTTAAGTATATAAAAATGTGTTATATATTTTTACTGTCCAAATAGAGTTATATTCTAATAAGCAAAATTGTGATTATCAAAAACTATCTCTAATAAATGTAAAAAATAACACCTCAATTTTGTATTACATTCTAATCTAATAAAATATGTTTTATTACTAAAAGACAAAGAAAAAGGTGTGGAAGATACTACATTCTCTGGTTCTCAAGTCAGGGTAGGAGTGTGGGGAGGGCCTACAGTTCAATTATTAGTTTCTCTGTATTTTAGTTATGCACTGAGGAATATAATTCAGGTATTTCAAAAACTCAAGAATCTATTTATAAATTAGTTGAAAATCCTGCTGAGGAAAAAGATATACAATAATAAAATAGAATTATGAATACATGGCATACATTAAGTATCAAATGAGGATGGAAAGTTATCAAAAATTGGTAGGGATTATAGAAGAAATAAGAGAAGGCTAAAGAAAGAGGCCATCAGTTACAAAAAATGGAAGGAACAAAGAAACTGGGAGAGACATGTTGATCATTCCCTGTACATCAGACCCTAATTACAGTCAGAAAAATGAATGTTATTATTCATATTGGAATAATAAGGAAATAGAAACTCAAGCCAGGTATCCAGTCTAAATATGCAAAGCTAGTGAGGTGATGGAGTTGGGAACCAACCTGGACACAATGCTACTGATCACTAAAGCTTAAGTCCTGGCCATAGTTTGTACAAAACAACAAAGTTTCTCATTATTGTTAAAGCAAATTTATTCTAGGTAGAATGAGAAGGCTGGTTAGAGAGAAAGGTCTCAGTGAAGGAACAGAAGGCGATGAGTTTAGAATGATAGGTGAAGCAGAAAAGGCAGGAGCCCTGATAGCATAGTGCATAACATATTAGGCTGCTAACCAAAAGTCAGCAGTTCAAATCCACCAGATGCTGAGTGAGTGTTAACTCAAAAGTATCTCCTAGCATTAATCAGGTTTTGCATGATAGTTATTTTGGCAAACTGCATGAACTCAATAAAAAAAAAGGCTTTATAAAGTGCAACATAAATGCAACATTTCCATTGTTAAACTGCTATTTTAAAAAACAAAGAACCTATAAAACTGTACAGAGTACTGTTAATATAATTTTTATTTTCTAAAAAGCTGTAATGTCTCCCTCTAAAAAAATTTTTAAATGACTTACAAAAACGAGAATCCAATATTGAAACAATAATTTTACAAAATGTGACATTTAGATAACATTGAATTATGTTTTCTTGCTGTTCTAACCATAAAGCTTCTCAGTAGAATGATAAAATTTTAAGGTAGCGTCTGTTATTTATTCTATGCAATTTTGGGGAATAAACTTGTAGATAAAGCAGAAAAATGTAAAAAAAAAAAAAGAAGAAAAGCATAATGTAAATTTTATAAACACAACCCCTGCAGAAAACAAAATTGACAATCAGAGCAGCAAGGAGAACAGCTAACTGCCAATCCATAAGGAGACTGGCTTCTCCCACCAATCCACCATTAAACTGAGCAATCCAGCAGTGGAAGAGACCTTCCCCACCAGCAAAGAAAACAAGATGCAGGAGAATGCAGGACATCCTTCAGGACCAGACATTCTTGCTCAGGCTCCACTTACAGCAGCAGTAGTCTTAGACAAAGCAGAGGACCACAATGACATGAAACAAAATGGAGCTCGCTGCTACCCCTAACAACAGTCAGAACCAGAGTGAAGCTAAGAGTCTTTCCCAGAGCCCATACTGGCAGGACTGAAAACTCTAGCCCAAAGCCATGAGGCTCAAGGATAAGGTGCCTGCAAGTACAGTTCAGATGCTGTTATGACTATTCTGCTACTAAACTGAATTATAACCTTTTGATGTACTCCAGGGATGTGTCCTGTCTCCATACCTTTTCAACTTGTATGCAGAACAGATTATCTTGGAGGCTGGGCTCTATGAGGAGAAATGTGGGATCAAGATTGGTGGAAGATCTATTAACAATCTGCGATATGCAGATGATACAACCCTGCTTGCTGAATCTGAGGAGGACCTGAAGCGCTT